TACACATATACACATGCACAATCACACACAGACACACAAAGGTTGAACTTGATGGACCTGTGTCTTTATTCAACCTCAAATACTATGTAACTATGTATTTTTGATTTGATTTTGATGTTTTATTAGCACATATTCAATATTTGGCTACAATTTTTAGAGCGCAACACTTCTTTACATTGTCATTTGCATTATCATTTGGCGTGGGATTTTTCTAGATTATACAAAAAATCCTGTTGGAACATTCAATACTGGCATCAGAAACAATTTTATACAAAAAATCCTGTTGGAACATACTGGCATTAGAAACTTGCCAATTGTTTGAAATTTTGTTTAATTTCCATTTTTACTCAACATTCCATTTTGGAATGAATTGAGTTTCCAAACAAAAACCTCATTCACTGTTCACTCGATAAAAATTTTCCATCACGCTCCTTCGATTTGTTTTTCCGAATGTCAAAATCAATCATCCCATTAACAAATAAAAAGTCAAACGAACGTTCCGAAATCGATTTTGTTCATTCAAAAATTTTAAACGCGCATTCCCTATTTAACTTACCCACAGCAGGGATTTACATTCCCCTGTCTGTGTCTTACATCACACAGGGGCAGGCAGGCAGCTGCAGTTTTTACAAAGCTGTGAGAGCTGCTGTTGAATGACAGTGGCTCTCACTGTGCTTGCTCACTGTATAGTTACCATTTGTGTCTTACATCAAACAAAGACACAGATGGGGAACGTACTTCCTCTTTGTGTGTAAGTAAGCCTACAATGTAAACAGACATGCCCCCCTACATAAGAGTGAAATAACCAGCTTGAATTTATTCACAGTGCATCACATGAATGCACGCAGGGTCCCTTCCTTAGGGTAACATAGGGTAACATCATCACTATTGTACCCTGAGGAAGGGACCTTGCATGGCCCTGAAACGTTGGTACTATGTATTGATGTTATGCATTGTGAATAAATCCAAACTGGTTATTTTACACTCATGGAATACTGGTGACTTATCTTCAAATGATAAGTAATGCAGCTTAGAACAAAGACACTCCTGCATAAGAGACACACCCCCTCAACTTATGAAATGAGGCTGTGTGGTCATGTGGTCATGCGACCACCAAATGCAAGTTAAAAAATTAGTTAAGTTAAACTTTATTTAAAAAAAAGTTAATGTGTTTAGAACTATAAAAGGGCATGTATTACAGGGGGGGACAACAACTAGAACGAACCTCGAAAGTTAGGTACCAGACGCAATTTTAAAAGAGCATTGGCTACCTGGGTCCTGGGATTTGTCCAGACCTGATTTAATAATGGGCTTTTTTTTGCTATGTGTTCACAACTACTTTAATTCTTTTGTCAGGTACAATAAAATGTCTGGCAGAGTTTTGAACCAGTCAATTTGTCCTAATTCAAAGGTACTCAGCTCTTTCAAACACATGCAAATATCATGCAAGTACAGCCTTACATAAACCCATGACACATTTGTTTGTGGGAAAAGTAATATGAAATTTTAAACAACTTCTACGGGGCTTTTGTTATATAAAAGGAAGTGCCAATCACTGACATTTCATTTATTAAAATGTCATTGCCATTAGATCTTTGGTTTTGAGAAAGAGGGACCCATTTAAATGTCAACACAGCTGAACTTTAAATTCTTCTCTAATAATAAATAACTCCATGGGGGCTTAAACATCTTTTTCTATATGTAGCTGATGACTCATTATCAAGAATAATGAATGTACTCCGGCAAACTTTACTCTCTTGCTTATGTGATTCATAGAAATTGTACACCATTCTTCTTACGTATAAATAGGTAGTTTATGGCTCTTTTGCGAAGGTATAGAAAACACATTGCACTTTAATTGGCATAATTGAACAGTAAGGAATTAGCGGGCCTTTGTTACATGTGCCGCTGACAATACGGAAATTTCAAACCTTGTACTTTGCTCTTGCTACATATATAGCATTCATTTTTGAACAAAGCATCAATTCAACAGAAGCTGCCTGCTCCATTTAGGAAAATATTCTGCTAAGCTACAATGCAAACACAAAGGCAAAGAGATTCATAGACGTTTGTCTCTGTGCTGTTTCACCTCTAAAATATGTCATTGTAGAAGATGAATAATGTATTAGTGCCTGAAGATAGAATTGTGAACCAGCAGCATGTTCTGCAGAGATCTTTATCTGAGAGCTACAGACTATGAACACAGCGCTGTTAAAGCCACTGTTGGTTTCCTATGCCTCACCTGTAAATTTTAAGCCTCATCTAACAATCTTTTGTTATCATGATCAAACGCCAAGCTTTTCATTCCCATTATAAAAAAGTATGGTACAATTAAATGTTCTGCAGTCTGCCTTGGAGAGGACACAGAGAAGACCCTGTTATGGTTCATATTTGTATCTGTTACATTTACTTTACATTTAAATGAAACCTGTAATAATGGAAGTTGTCATTACTTACCTGAGAATGCTAGTTGCCTGTTCTTCTCTAGCTTTATTCCTTTCTAAGGCACTGATACAAGCATGCAGACCAGATAGTTAGATTAGATTCATAACTGCTAACTGCTTGTTCTGCCTAGTGACTCAGAAATAATTCGACAAGTGAAATAGTCCAAAAGTGCCTTTATTTGTTTTCCAATTGATCAAACAAAAGCAAAAAAACTCAGGAAATACTATAACCAAATGGATCTATATATTATTTGAAATTAAAATCTCCTTTAGGGCTGGAATTGTAATTGGCAGCTGGTTACAGTATTTTCTGAGTCCTATCAAATCCTAATTTCATTCTAAGCCCTGATGGAGGGGGAATGTTGTTGCCTCCGAAACCCATTGGCTGTTTTTGTTTGATGGAATCGTGAACAATTAAAGACACTTTTAGACTTTTTCAAGTTTTTGCTTTGGCGCCCTTTATTTCTAAACCTTGAGCCACTTCTGGATACCCAACAATGGAAGCCTGTTTTGTTTGGGAGCTGCCTTGCCAGAGCCAGTGAACTTATTTGCATAGTCTAAGGCACAACATGAAAATACAGCATTCAGGAAACTCTAGTAACCTATAATTATATATAAATTGGGCAATATTTGGTCTTGCTCATAGAATGTGTATAATGTATCAGGTGTTTACACAAACCTAGGGATCTTCCTAGAGCCAGGCTTGGCTCCCTAGCCTCTGCTCCTGCACATCAAGAAGTGATATCATCACCTCTACATCCTTGAAGTTGACCTATCATCAGACATATTTTTTCATGTTACCTGAAAACATGCTAAGTAATGTGCAACAAGTGTAACACTTTTAGGTATGTATTACCTCTCAAAAAGGTCACAGTACACCACCTGGCCTTGCTTTAATTTTTCTACTCATAAGACTACTTCCATTTTTTTCATGCATCATTCAGGTGCAACATCTATTTCTGTGACTAACCCAGTAATAAAGGCTTCTGCTTCGACACCTTTAAATGTGTGTGTCATGTGAAGGTGTTGGCCCACATGATACAAACATGTAAAAGTGATAGTGCAAAAGCCTTTATGTGCTGGGCTGTGTGTACAACTGTGCGTATAACCCTGCTGTGACTTTTCAAATTGTGACTTGCTACAAAGTTACAGTCTAAATGATCACTGGGCTGGGAAAGGGAGACTGAGGAAATGCTCTCGCTTCCCTGCAGCAGACTGAAGACATCATTTTCCCAGTTTATTCTTCTCTGTGACTGGTCACAGGGGATCTTATTTATGTGTTTTATTGGAATAAAAATTTACATTTGAACTTTTTGGGCTTAGCACTTTGTCTCCACTAGTCACAGTCAATTCACATGAGTTCATGGGCTGCTTGTAAATTATAAAAGGTGCAGCTTTTTTGAACATATGGCCGTATTTTGTAAGATGCCAAGGTATTTATTCATGTGGATTTGTAAAATGACTGATAGGTCCACTTTAACAATGTAGTTGCATCAAAGCCCACTTGAGCAGAGCTCTGCTTCCGTATACCATTATAATATTAGTTTAATTGTTCAGTGTGTTGGTACAACAAATTCCTTTTACAGTGCCCTAAACGATTAATGAACAAGCTCATTAGCTCATTGCAGAAAATTCTAATGATAGGTTAATAAAATATCTATTACAAATGAAGGCTAAAATAACATGATTTTAGAAGCTGCCAGTGTGAGTTATACAAAGTGATATATAAAATGTGCATGTTGTTAAGCCTGCTGCTTCATTTCTCATCATGGTGCTGTCTCATGAACATACAGAGGGTTGATTTCTGCTATATGAAATATGGCCCATGACAGCACAGCTGATTTGCAGTCAGTGCAGTATGTCACAAAACAGCAGATTTGTCTCTCATACAGCATTCCTGCCCTGCTCTCCATATTGAATGTGTCACCCACATATGGCCTATAAATCAGAAGCCCACAGCACTAAAGGATATTCCCAAAGAACATGCAACTCTGTTCAGGAACACTAATAGCTTCAGGGGGTTCATATTATGGTAACAGTATGATAGCCCAAGCTATCTACTTGTCACTGTTATTTTCCTATACATGGTTAATTAGAGCAAGAAAGACATAAATGCCAATGTTGTATAAGCCACTTCCTTCCTGTGTATGAAGACTTATAATATCTGTACTAATCATCACTGATTGTAATCTCCGCTAACTTCAGAAACTGAGAATTTTTGCAGTTTGGAAAGCAATGCTGTAACATTGCAATACATTTCTATTTCCAATTATTCTATTAAGATATATGTACATTTTGTAATATATAAACAAGAATCTATCACAGTGCAATAGAAGTACATCCCCAATAAGTAAATGCAAAATGAACATATACAGCGCTTCTCCTTCAGGCCACAGATGTGACTACTTAGCACACCCAGTGATCCATGTATGTGAATAGATTAAAAAAACAATAAATATCCCCACACAGTGCACACACAATATAAAAAAAACCCCTTAGAGTAGACCTTTATACTCAAAACTCAAATCCCACCAATGCATTAATCTAATAATAATAAGATAGACATGTCAGGTTTAATGCTGTTATATTTGAAATACTTACACCTGCAGAGCATTCACTTCCTGCTTTTCAGGTGCAAAGAAGTTCAGTGTGCCAACACAATGCATCCTGGGATTGCTTGCCATTGAAATGAAAAAAGAAGATGGCTGCTAGATCCCGCGAGATGTTTTGCGAAATCTCTCAGCCATTTTGTTTTTTTTTTGCCTTTTCCTGGATGACAAAAAGAACAGGGCACGGAAGGAGCGCCTTTTTCCACAGCAAACATGGCCGTCCACTGCGTTGCGGCGCCAAATTTTAAAGATAAAAAAGGTATCTAAAAATGAAGAAACAGCTTTTTTAATGAGTCTAATGTGTTTATGGTTTATTAATGGAATGTTTTTTTTTGTTTACAAATTCAATGCTGCAGTGTAAGGCCCTATTCACACGTAGCGATTTATTGCGCGATTACTGGGGCCTAAAGGTCTGCTTTCAAGCATCTAGCCCAATATTAAAGTTAAATGAAGCAGAATCAAAAACACCAAAACCACATTAAAAAAAAAGAAATTTCAGATTGAACTCCTTAGTTTAGTGTAATTTTAAGTCCCCTTGAGGTAGCTACTTCCCAAAAAGTCCACTCAGCTCACGAGTTTCTGCTCAGGGTGCTGTCGCTGTCAGCACCCTTTCGATCAGCAACCCTCGATAAGCTGATGGAAGGAGCCGGTCGGAAAATCTTCTATCGAGCAGAGTCGGCAGCCAACAAGCTGCCTGCTCTGGTCGGGTATTCTGACAGGTGCCGGTGGCACCTGATGTAATACAGTGTAAAGAGCGAGATTTCTTGATCAACATGCTGTTAATGTTGATGGATAAATTAGGTCTATTTTTTTCGTTCACCCTGCGGGTTGAATGGAAAAAAGAGATCAGTGTATGGCCAGCCTTAATCTTTCCTTCCCAGTGCATTTAATGCATTTTTGTGAAAATTCTAAATGTTGAAGAAATATCTCAATTTTTGACAAAAGTATAATTCAAATGAAAACTCTCAATTTTTGCTTATTTTTGCTGGAATGGAATGGAGGGGATATGTTCTGTGAAGAATAAACTGCCCTGGGAAGTGGGTGTGGAAGTAGATTTCCCTTCACCTCCATGCTCCATAGACTATTCATAATCAAAATATACCTACATTAAAAAAAATTAATCCAGAAAACGGAAAAAAAGAAGGGCCACTCAGCAGCAAATTATACAATGAAGCAGCATCTCATTCTTATAGTTATCTTAAGGACAAAACCCAGGAATTAAGAGTGTGAGGTATCCAGGTATCTCCCAGGTGCAATGTGCCATGACCGCCACCCCATATCTCTTCAAATCAGCACTAGAGAAAAACTGCCATAGGTGATCATGCTGTAGGGCAGTGGGGAGAAGAATCTGCACTGCCAACCAGCTGAAGGTCTGGGTGGGACATGAAGAATTACACCCTGCACTCTTGAAATAAGAGATGAGTGACAGCTTACAGGAAATAACTGGCCTCCCACCTCTTGAATACCCTTCCTGTCTAGTGACCATGTGACTAAGGCCTTGTAGGCTAAAACACATCAATATTTGTTACTTTGTGTGCAAAATGGATTACTAATAAAAGAATTTCAGATGAAGCCCTGTGTGCTGGCTTTTACATTCCTTAATACTTTACTGAATACCTAAGTGAAAACTCTATATTTCTGAATTAATGTAAAATCAACATACACCCCTGTCCTTCTTCAGCCCACAAATGTGACTGCTCGGTCATGTGGCTTAAGAAAAGTCCCTTAGGCATTAGAAAACCTTTCCCAGGTGGAAAGGTGTCTTTTATACTGATAACAAGTTCAAACAGGTGCCATTGATACAGGTAATGAATGCAGGACAGAGGAGCCTCTTAAAAAGTCCCCTCTCTCCCCGGGCCATACCACTTTATCTGAGAGCCCGGGGGAGGCCGGGAGAGAGGGGACAGTTTGACATGAGGTTCCACAGGCTGAACCACAAATTCCCCCTCTCTATTCAGTCTCAGGCCGGTCTATTCAGACATGACGCCGCGACCCACTGCAGAGGGTGTCGCGACCCACTTTTGGGTCGCGACCCACGAGTTGAGAACCACTGGTCTAGGACAACAAAGCTGATTTGGAATAATTCTCAAATTCAGCTCACTTTCTGGTCCAGCTATGTTGTCCTAGATTGTTCACTTCTCCTGCCTTCTCCAAACTCTTCCCCCTTTTGTGAATAACTCTGTTAGTGAAAAATAACTTTGGAAAGAATACCCAATCATGTATAAGGAAAAAAAAAATTTTCATGGAATGTTGCATGTAAGTGGATAAATGATTGAAGCCAGTACAACTTAACTTCATTCACTAAGCTTAGTGGAAATTCACATATTCCTTTATCACACATCAACCTTATATCACCCTTATATATATTTAGTTACAAAATAAGCTGTATAACTGTAGGAAAAAAGGAGCAGATGGCTCTTAAATTAAGTGTGTGTTTGAAATTGCAGGCTTACTCAGATCATATCAATAAAAGCAATAAGTACAATTCTATTGGTGACCTCTTTCTGAAAATGCTAGGTTCCTGGCTACTGATCCTCTGGCTTGAGTACTTTTGAGACACTGAGAAAAAACATGCAGATCAGGAAAGTCAGGGTGAAGTCAAAACTCCCAACCTGCAAAATGCATGGGCAAAAGAAAATACAGATGGGGATTTATCAAAACTGAAGCAGAGAAAATCTGGACCAACCGTGAATGTCAACCAATCAGCTTCTCTCTTTCATGTTCAAATCTTAACTGAACAAAATGAAGAGAGAAGCTGATTGGTTGCCATGGGCAATTGCTCCAGATTCTATCTGCTCCAGCTTTGATAAATCCACCCCACACTGTTTTCAAAAGGATCTTTTCATGCCAATTACATTGAACTTCAGCTATAAATAAGTACTCTATACACTTTGTGAGAGTCCCCAGGTACTCCGGTGCCTACAGTCTCATAGCTGTATATCTGTTTCTGCTTCATTTATTCTGTGGATCTATGCTTTGTGAATCTCTCCTTCTGCTTCCTAAATATAAACCCACTTTACAGCCACCAAAATCACTTCTAACAGAAAGCCGTCAGCTCGCAGAAGGAATGTAAACCAACTCCCAGCTGCTATAGTAACCGAACGTTTGTTTACAGGGCCCTGCTGCCTACATCGTTAAATAAAATGTACAATCTTTCCTAAGTTTGTTTTGGATAAACATGTAAAAACATTAGGTTTATGTAAATATTTTCAATATGTCAATGTTTCAAAACATATTTGTGTATGATATGTAAATATATGTGTAATTATAGGTGTACATTGGAACAGCTATATTTGCTCAATAACTGGCTCTTCCTCACAGTTCAAATCTATATTGGTCGGGTATATTACTCACTGAAAATAATGCATTCACTGTGTGGCTGATAGCTAGTAAAGCTCCCTCTAAGGGCTTAGCTAAAAACCTCTAAATTTCACTTGCAGAACACTGAGCTCACCTGGTGTGAGAGAGAAAGAGGACTACGAATCTGTGGTTAGCAGGCCAAGTTCCCCTAGCCGAGTGCCCGTTCATGAGGAGCTAGGGCTGCACATCCAACAGTTGGTGCATCCTGCCATGTAGTCAGAACAGAGAGGGGGATTCCACAGAAGCAGCATCAATAAAAGGAAACATCAGTAAAAAAACATTTAAAAAAACAGTAGGCAACATTTTAATATGCATTGCAAGATGTAGTGTTAATAGATAGAAAAAAAAAACATTAAAGGTGAACTAACCCTTTATAATACACTATACTTTCATTTACATGAGCAGAAATACAGTATTGTTTCCCATCTTGGCATGTAAAGTTACCTAGGAAACCAATTCTCACTCTAAACCTTCTCCAGTCAGTAGAGGATCTCTAACCCTCAAGGTTGCCGGATTATATGTCTATGCTTGTTTATGTTATGTCCAGTGCCCTGTCACTACTCTCAGGACATATCATATAGGATTCTCTATAGAAAGCATCTGGTATTCTGGTCTTGCCGGCCGATGCATATGACTGTCACAACTGTCAACTAACACACAGTGTTGCCTTCGTGCACCTCTAAACTCTGTCTAGCTGATTATCAGGGGGGTACTGTGAGAGGTATTAAATACCTGTGTCTTTAATGCATACTGTCCAAATAATAGAACACGCAATAAAACCAATACTAACTGATGATAATATTTAAAAGCACCGAGTGACATGAACTTCCTCTTACCTGCTAGACATCTGAACTACCAAATGGGCTCTGATATCTCTTGTTGTTGAGAATTCTTTGCCTGAGTTTGCAGAATTTCTAGATCTGTCAGAAACACCGAAAATTATAAGGTTTGTGGGAGCAGAAACAGGATCCATGGTGGGAGATCTTGTTGCTGGAGTCCCCAAGAGATGTAAGAGGCCTGCAGATAACTTAGCCAACCAGAATCCACCAGAACAAAAATATCTTTGGTTGAATAGAACTTTTACATGTTTTTGCTATCCAGCATTTTATTTTTTAAAGCTCAGATTGAAATGATGAAATGTAATGCTCACCTTTTTCCAGATTTTCTTACTATGACAATTTGTAATATGCTATGCATTATTTGAGATTACCATCCAACAATTTCTGGTTTGTAATAGTTGTACACATTTTTGGCCTTATGTGGTAGCAGCAGTGCCATTGCTGCAGTCAATTTCAGGTTAGTTATTCCCTTATTAGTAACATTGGTACATGCAGCCATGGGACACATTCAACTACCTTTCTATTTGTCCCATGCCTTCAAAACAGTACATGGCCATGCATATTATATAACAGCTCAATCGTGTAAATAAGCAAGCCATTTTTATGTAACGCCCATTAATTTGCAGTGTTCCTTACACAACAAAACCTTAAAGTAGTATTACATGCTCAAACTTTTGTTTTTTAATAATGAATTCAGATCATAAAATATACATTACCAAGCACTTACAATCGTCATATTTCCAAACAGCTGGCTCCAACACTCTCAGCTTCCATGGACCTTCTGTCCAATAAATGATCACAAGGGATAGTACAGTCTCTGGAAACTGTGCATCTATCAGCTTGGAGGAGTGGAGAACATGGAGCTGGAGAGTGTCTTGCTTTGCTGTATCTGTGTGTTTGTGGAGACACACATCTTACTAGCACACTCAAGCTTGGCTGCATAGGACCCTGCATTAAAAAGGAGCCACACTAAAACAGGATATCCGGACCAGTGCTCAGGGGACCAGCTGATTCTGCAGAAAACTAAGGGGGTTAGTCACTATTGAGCCGAAGTATAGAGCCGTAGCTTCGGCTGATCCTTCGGCTCTCTACGGCCTGCTCAGCCCTCCGTTTCAGTCGAACTGAAGGGCTGCTGTACAGGCTATTCACAACTCGCTGTCTCAAAGCATCACGCTGTTTACTTTTTTATACTTTACTTAGAGTGTACATTTGGAGAGACCATTTAGGTGTACATGGTGCACTGCCCTGCAGTGACCGGCATTACCATCCAGTGCACTGTGCAAGTTCTGTTTATTACTATGTACTATGTTATGAACAGGGAGTATAGAAAACAATATTTTTGATGTGCCCTATCAGTGACCGAAGTTGACCAGTTACTAAAAAAACGCTAGTCACTGCTGATGTGAACAAGCCCTTATACCAGGGGGGCCCATTAGGTAGATCGTGATCTACCAGTAGCTCTCAAAGCTGATGCTGGTAGATCACTAAGGGTGTGAATGGCGGCCCCTTTATTTAATTTTGGTATATTTATTTAGCTACGGTATGCACACATGATTACCTATTAGCCTGAGTCTGCTGAGCCAAGCTCCCTGACATCTTTTTGGTGGATACTGGTGGTTGAAGTGCTATGTATTACATCAAAGAATATTAGTTTACACAGACTGTTGCACTGTACTGTTTGCAAAATACAGCAAGGTGAGCCGGGAGAGAGATCGGGGAGAGACAGACAGGAGAGACAGCCAGGAAAGAGAGAGAGGAGAGACAGCCAAGAGAGGGAAGAGAGACAGCCAAGAGAGAAAATGAGGAATGACAGCCAGGAGAGAGAGAGCAAGGAGAGACAGCCAGGAGAGAGAGCAAGGAGAGACAGCCAGGAGAGAGAGAGCAAGGAGAGACAGCCAGGAGAGAGAGAGCAAGGAGAGACAACCAGGAGAGAGAGAGCGAGGGAGGTGTTTTTTTTCATTGGTAGATCTCATGTAGCTCGTCATTTGAAAAGTAGATCTTAACACCAAAATTGTGGGCACCCCAGCCTTACACTATTTGTTTTTTGTTTTACAACTTTGAATTCATACCACTTTGTAACATTGAGATCTTATTATCCATTGCCATACATCTTGCCAATTTCACCCTTTATTTATGTCCTACCCTATCTGATCTATCCATCCATTTGTTTCTGATTTGCCTTCCCTTCTCCCACCTAATGAACAGTAAATACCTCTACAACATTCCTTTAACTCTGTCACTGCAGGCCCCCTTCCACTCAGGTGTACATAATCTATAAAACAAATGTTATACTCCAAGAAACTTCAGCCCAGAGCTCTGTGATCTTAAAATGTACCCTCTTGACATCTATCTCCTCTTCCAGAACGGAGAACCGCCCGACTCACCGGGAGACCAGGTCACAGGGCATCAGACCCGAATCGCTGCCAGACACCTCTCCCGAGGTGGTAGAAGGGCCGGAGATAGCTGAGGGACAGACACGGCCGCAATCCCCGGGCCGCGGTGACGTCATCGATACCGCGATGGCAGAGAATCGGGACCCGAATGCAGGCCAGACTCCTCCGACTGGACCCCGAGGTAAGGGGATTACTGTGGCTCTCCCCGCCCGGCCTCACAGGGATCAGACACCCACATCACCCTGCACATCCAGGGAACCAGCGGATTGGTCCCTCCCCCCAGTGATGGACACTGCTGAGATCTGAACCCATATTACACTCGCTCCAGGACTCTCCTGCAGGGGCCCCTGAACAATCCCCCTCCCCTGGGATACTAGATGCCTACCTCAGACGCCTCATAAGTGCCCTTCCCACTAAAGCAGATCTGGCATCCACCTTTCCTACTAAAGCGGATTTTGAATCCTTTGCTACTCGTATTGAAACTGCCTACAAGCAGGACCTGGCCGAAGTTAAACAGGAACTCTCCTCCATTACTTCCCAGGTTGCTTCTGTGGAACAAACGCAATCTGACCTTCTCCGCAGGGTCCTTACCTTGGAGACCGCCCAATCCACTTCTCAACAACTGTCTGCCGCTGTCCTTCATCTAGATGACTTAGATAATCGGGGCCGACGGAATAACGTACGCATTCGAGGACTCCCTGAATCTACTGGCCACTCGGACCTTAGGGCCACTGTCCGAGATATTTTCAACCTTTACTTGGACAATCCTCCTGATACGCCCATTGAGATTGACAGGGCTCACAGGTCTCTGGGCCCCAGGTCTCAGGACTCGAACAGGCCGAGAGATGTGATCTTCAGAATACATTTTTACGCTGTTAACAATGATATTATGCAATGTGTGTGGCGTAAAGGTCCATTAGACTTTGACGGTGCGACTATCCAGCTATATCCGGATCTCTCCAGGCGTACCCTACTAATGAGGCGTCTACTCCGACCACTACTGGAGGCTATACGGCACTCGGGTGCTACCTACAGATGGGGTTTCCCGTTCCATCTGGTAGTTCGGAAATCGGAAAGGACCTTTACATTGAAGACTCCTGAGGATCTACCTGCTTTATTCGCCTTCTTGGAGATTGAGTGTATCACGGTCCCGGACTGGCTTCACCCCTCTCTGGAGTCGACTGGAGTGCACTCACGCAACCGAGATGGCCCCCCCCCGGAACACCACTCCTTACCGACCACGCTCCTCAGGTGGCGTCTCCAACACTACTCGGAGGACAGGGCTTCGCACTGGTCCCCCGAATGCCCGAGAGGCCTAACTCCTACTGTTGCCATACCCCATCTGAACTACGCTCCTCCTTATACCATTGCTCCTTTCATGATTGACTGTCACTTGTTTCCTCCAGGTACTTTGCAGTATTCTATTTTATTTTGACAGAACCGGAGGTGGACATCTAGATCCTCGCAATGGGCTCCCCCATCATGCTGCATCCTCACGGAGGGACTTCAGCAGAGAGGTACCTGACCCGTCAGGTGGCGAGCTCCCCCCCTCCCCCCAAGTTTATGGGGTGTGGATTGGGAATGAGACCACCCTACATATACCCCCTCGATAGTCCATACCTTTGCTTCCTCCCATCAGGAGCCCACAAGGTTAGGCATATACGCCTCCCCTATCGGATAGGTAGCGACTGGTTTCATTTCTATGTATCCAGGTCCGATGGATGGACCTGGAACTGGGCCCACGTCCCCCGCTTCCGCATTATTTTCTTGCTGGACTGCCGGGGGCCGGGGCCTGGGACCTGGAGCCCATGGAACCCCCCACGCTCTCCCCCATACCGGTATTCCTTATACCCACGGAACAGTGGTGGGGAGGAGGAGGGGAAGGGGAAGCAGCAAAAGAGTAGACTCAGAGTAAGAAGTGGAATTGATGTTGTTGTTTATGGTTATCTTCTGCTCTTCTATGATCCTCACTAAATAACTATGCAATTCAATGCCTGTTAACTTAAGTGCCTTGATATGTTATCTCTTGTTTTTGATGTTTTTGATGTTGTTCCATGATGTATTATGCAAGTATACCGTAAGTCGATGCCCGGAGCTCTCCCATGGCTCCGTGACCTTTGCCTTAAGCCTATTCCCCCATTTAGGCCCTGAGCGCACCGGAGGTCCCTCCCCTGGTGTAGTTCTTTTTGAGGATTTATCCTCCCTTAGTTTCTTGTCTTTGTCACCCTTTTGTCTGCCCTCCTCCCCCTCTTCCTTTCTCTTCTCCTCCTCTTCTCCTCCTCTTTTCCTTCTTCTCTTTCCCTCCCCCCTCCCATCCTTCTTCTCCCCCGCCTCCCGCCCTCCCCTTCCCACTCTCTCCTCCTTCCCAATCCCCCCCTAGACTCCACGGACGGTAACCTAAGTATCTGGGAAACGACTCTCCTCGCCCGCTATGCCCGTCGCAGGGACCACCTCACTGGCATCCCTCAATGTCAAGGGACTGAACACACCCGAGAAGAGATCTATGATCTTGCAGGAGTTTAGGAGGTTGAGAGCCGAAATTGGCTTTGTTCAGGAGACTCACTTTCGGACAGACCAGGTCCCCAAATTCCACAATTGCCACTACCCTCATGCTTATCACTGCTCCACACCAGACTCTAAAACTAAAGGGGTGAGCATCCTCCTCCATCGCAATTCCAACTGGAAGCTTGTAGACACGTGGTCCTGTCCAGAGGGAAGGGCCCTATTTGTCAAAGGGACTCTAGGCGGTCAACTTTGCACTTTGGCTAATTTGTACCTCCCTAATGTACATCAGATTTCCTATTTGGAACGGGTGCTAGATCGCCTATCCCTGTTTGCAGAGGGGGTATGGGTAGTGGGAGGAGACTTTAACTTTGCCCTTGACCCGTTAATAGATTCTTCTATATCATCCTCACACTTATCCTACTCTGCCCTTCGACGTATTCGTAAATGCCTGAAACTACACCAGCTGATAGATGTCTGGCGCCTACTTCATCCCACCGACAGGGACTACACGTTCTTCTCTAACCCTCACCAGTCCTATTCAAGAATTGACATGTTCCTGATTCGTCACTGTGATCTTCCTCGTTTGAAAGCGGCGTCCATAGGCTCTATCTCCCTCTCTGACCATGCGGAAATCGTATTGGATTTAGACTTATCCCAGGCCCCCCCCCCTTGGACCTGGAGACTAAATGAATCACTCCTACAAAATGACTCGATATCTCATTCGGTACGCTCTGAACTACATACATATTTCTCCATCAACGACACCCCAGACTGTGATCCCATGATTTTATGGGAGGCCCACAAAGCTTACATTAGGGGAGTCCTTATCAAACACGGTTCGCGAGTTAAACGCGCTAGACTGACACAGATTACTGACCTGCTTACTAAGATCCATACCCTCGAGACTCTTCATAAACGTACTCTAGCGGTTGGAGCTATTGGGGCATTAGGGATCGTCACGACACCCCTAATAAGCCTTGTATACAAGAAAAGAAAAGCGGGGCTTTAAAAGTGTCCAAAATTAAACGCGCTAGACTGACACAGATTACTGACCTGCTTGCTAAGATCCATACCCTCGAGACTCTTCATAAACGTACTCTAGCGGTTGGAGCTCTGGGGGAACTGACGTCCTTAAGGCTCCGCTTACAATCCCTATACATGTTCAAAACTAAAAATGCGCTGACCAAATGTAGAAGTTTCTTCTACGAATTTGGTGACAAATGTGGGAAACTCCTTGCTCGGGCTTTGCGAGCCCAGCGGGAACGGTCCTTTATCCCGGAAATTATGACCCGCACCCAATCTAAAGCTTCCACAAACAAGGACATCGCAGAGGCATTTAGACAGTACTATAAGTCCCTCTATAACCTTAAGGCCGATTCTATATCCCAGGGTGACCGTCCTCTCCCGGAAATTATAAACGAGTACCTTGAAGACTCCGGAATGCCTCGACTCTCGAATAAGGATATCTCGGTCCTAGATTCCCCCTTAACTCCTGAGGAGCTAGCTCTAGCCATCTCCCAGACCGCCACCGGGAAAGCGCCTGGTCCTGACGGCTTCACCCTGGCCTACTACAAAACATACCAGGATCTCCTTTCCCCCTATTTTATTAGAGCATTTAACGGGGTGGGATCTGGGGGTGCTTTCCCATTGGATACCCTCAGAGCCCATATTACAGTGATACCTAAGGAAGGTAAAGACCCCCTCGCCTGCGCTAGCTATAGGCCCATTTCTCTCCTAAACGTAGACCTCAAACTATTTACTAAAATTTTAGCGTCCAGGTTAGCCCCCCTAATGCCTGCGGTAATACACCCCGACCAATCGGGCTTCGTACCCACGAGGGAAGCCCGAGACAACACCACAAGAGTCCTAGCTACTCTCCATGCCGCTAACTCCAGATCCATACCCATCATGCTACTGTCCACAGATGCCGAAAAGGTCTTTGATAGAGTGAATTGGCAGTATATGGACTCAGTCCTGCAATATGTAGGACTGGGTAATAGGATGTTGACATGGATCAGGGGGATCTACTCTCACCCTACAGCACAGGTCAAGGTTAATGGCTCCATGTCCCAACCCCTAGAAATTGGTAATGGCACGAGACAGGGATGCCCCCTGTCCCCCCTCTTATTTATTTTAACCCTGGAGCCCTTCCTTTGTAAAATTCGATCCCATACAGATATCATGGGCATTCCCACGGGACCATCGACCTCCCAAAAAGTAGCAGCCTTTGCGGATGACCTACTATTCTTTCTCTCTAACCCTGTCATTTCCCTGCCCAATTTAGTAGAAGAATTTTGCCGATTTGGAACCCTCTCCAATTTCTTAATAAACTATTCCAAATCGGAAGCGCTCAATGTCACCCTCCCCACGTCGGCGGCTCATGGGCTTCATGCGTCTTTTGCCTTCAGATGGTCTACCTCGGCAATCCATGCACATGTCTATAGCTACTTTACTTGACTATCGTCAGCCGGGTCCTAAGATGGCCACATAACTGTTGGTTGCATTGTAAGTCCTGATGCTGCGGAAGCTCTAGCCACATACCACTATGTTCCGTTTCTGTATCTCTTGATATATTACCTGTATTGTTTGGAAAATGTGAAATAAAGAATTTATTTTAAAAAAAAAATTTACCCTCTTACACCAAAATGTAGCCATGCATATAGCTTTCAAAGATTCTCTTACTGACCTGGGTCGTGCCCGCTCATTTTCCAATATTTTCAGTCTGCTCCACCACATGTCAGACCCTCTCAACAGGTAGACCACAATCCATTTAGTTGAGGTAATCCTATTTACAAATGATTCTATCCATATTCCTAGCTATAGAATCTCCTATAACCATTACCAATCTGGAGTTTACTGTTCCTCTGTCCCGTTACTACAAGATGAAGTTCTCTGATGACCCTTGGGTAAAGCAAATCATATACACAGATGCCTACTGTTAAGAATCAATGCCAGGCCTATTTTTTTTTTCTAAGAACTGCCACTCTGTTTTGCTACAGTTACCCAGCACCTTACCTTAACTATTTTGAGCCTTTTCTCCACCCACCACATCTATTTCATTGAATTCCACATGAACAAGCAGGAAACTTCACTTAAGGTTATCAGTCTCTCTCAGTTTTGCATCTTCTTGCATTTTGTCTGAAACAAAGCTTCCATAGGACAGTCTCAAAATCTGGAGCAGCTGTGCACTGCCACCAATCAGCTTCTCTCCAGTTTGTTCAGTTAAGATTTGAAAATGAGAGAGAGGCTCCGATTGGTTGCC